ATATATTGAAAAAGGTTGATGGAATAATCTAAAATAGCAACATGACTTTGTAATTAAATGGGTCCACTTACTATTAATGGAAATATTGTAAAAATTACTTTAATATTTATAAAAAAATGAAATCAAATTATACGAACCTGTTGTAAATCGTGGAATTCCGTTAGTAGCACGATTTTATATATAAATAAAGTGATATCCATTTTAAATTTTATTTTATGATAATTATCACAATAAATATACAATTCTTCGTGCTAATTATGAATCAATAGAATTTCATATTCTCTTTGTAATCAATAATAAACCATGTCTTCACAAAACCATCTATGAAATAGGTTTTTTAAGAAAGTATTATTTGAATATGCATGATAAAATTGCAAATATAACTACAAAATAAAAATTTGAAAATTTGTTATGAAAAATTAATTATGATATATCATAATGTTGTAATAGAATCTTATTTATCATCATTAATAACAAATCACGGTGATTTCTTATTAATCTGGTAACCAAGCATATTTTTTATTGTATCTTAAAAAATCATTTAATGGAGAGGATCAATTTAACATACTTTGATTTATTGACAACTCAATTGTTTAAGTTTTTCAAAAAATTGTAGCTCCACAATAACAAAGGAAATTAAACGATGTATTTTTAATAACAAATCAATCTGTATACTTAATAACAAATCATGCGTTCTCCTGTTTTGTTGGACATCCAGTCATATGTAGACCGGAATATGCTTAAAAACATTAAAAATATAAGTACAAGATACATTTATTGCAAAAATCTTAATCATATGACTAGCACAAAAATACAATAATATTGATAATTTAACATTAATAAGAAATATTTCCTATTTTCTATTCATTCAGTAACGATCTATACACTATTAATCATCTATTCAAGAAGTTCAAAAATATCATTTGTTTTATCAATAACTGCACCGAACCAACTTTTTAAAAATTTATATTGTGACTCACAATACTCTCATATAAATTAATAAACTAGTACAACACCCGTGTATTACACGGATGCTATTTAAAAAATTATTCTTAAATTTTAAAGTTTATGAGAAAACTATATTAAATTTAGTTTACTTTTTTACAAAAAAAAAAAAATAAATAAATATATTACTATATATTTTAGAATGATATGTGTTACTTATGACTTACTGTGTTATATTATATTAACTTATATCATATAACTACTTGAAAGATAAATATATTAGTTGATAAATAATTTATTTTTTCTAATTAATATTAAAATTAATTTTATTATTGTTATAAAGAAAAATATAAATTATTTTTTTTATACATACAATATGGATGTTAAATCAAAGCTCATCAAAAGAATATTAATTTGATATTACATATGTAAAACTGATAAAAAATACAAAAGTTGTTAACTTTTAAAATATATATACAATTCAATAGTTAGAATAAGGAATGATATTAACATGCAATTAATACATGTAACATGATCATAAATAATCAACATATTTATGGTAATCCAAACCTAATTATTTTTGGTTTGAAATTAAATTTAAATTTATCCACCCAAGAGCGCTTGGATGAGATGACTTGGGTCTCTTCCAGCTTAACCAGTGGTCTCGTGTTCGAGCCCTGAGAATGCAGCAGTGTTAAAACTCTTGAGGGAGAGCTTTGCCGCCCTTGTGGTCCTACCCGGCTTGATTCCGGATTAGTCGGTTCCACTGTGGATCCGGAAACCGGAAGGTCCCTGTACCAAAAAAAAAATTTAAATTTATCCAAGCCTAATAACGAAGCATGTAGTCTTGCCACATAGGATTCCGAAGCACCAGAACAGCCACGTAGGCTCAACGCGTTCTAGATTAATATATAGGAGGATAGGGGAATTATAAAAAAAAATTAAAATATTCATAATATACATTATTATAAGTTTTAAATAAAATAAAATAATAATGATGTAACTAAAAATAAATAATTTTTAACTTCAAAATAATATATTTTTGCAGTCTTTTCAATTGAAGGTTGATTACATTATTTGACATAATTTTTCAATTTTAGATAGCTTATTCAGAAATCTGACGTAGTAATAAGCTATGGGGGGAGAGAGAGAGAGAGAGAGAGAGAGAGAGAGAGAGAGAGAGAGAGAGAGAGAGAGAGAGAGAGAGAGAGATTATGTGACTAGTATTATTGACAATATTTGAATATGTTAATTTTTCATTATCCTTCACTATAAATAAAAACTCTAAAATGACAACTATTTTATAACGAGTGAAATAAACACATAAATCATATATTAAATTATTATATTTCATAAAATAAGAAAAATATTAATATTTGAAACTTATTTTATAGCAATCAAAATTATTTCATTGGTTTAATATATGCATTTATAAGTCTTGTTTCGTGTATCGACTATATATTAGCTTAAAATATGAGTAATGCTATTTGGCCAATTAGGGTGACAACTTGGATTACAACCCAAGTGTAAATGTATTATCAAGAAATTAATAAATAATGCATTTACAATTAATTTGTAACCCAAATTGTAACTCAAGTTGGTTTTATAGCATTACTCAAAAAGATAAATAATAAAATATTATATTATTGTTCACTTATTTAGTACATCGCGAGTTACGTACTAGTTTAAAATATAGATTATAAAATACTACCTCCTATTTTTAATATATGTCGTTTTGAGAAGTTGCACATTAATTAAGAAATTTTTTTTTGTCAATAATAGCCATATTTAATGAAGATAGAAATGAATGTTTTGAGAAAAAGTGAAGAGTGAATATGAGAAGACATAATATATTTATTAACTAAATGAGGATAATATTAGAAAAATATGTACAAAAGATTCAAAACGATATTTATTTAGTTAATAGTTAATAAAACTAGAATGACATTTTAAAAAAATAGGAGGGAGTATTATATTATTGCTGGAGCTCCACCATGGATACCGTGAAACGAACTTTATTGCTGATTATTTGACGTCATTGGCGGCCAAGGGTCCGGGGGGGTTTGCATAGGTTGGATCGTCCTCCGCCTGTGTCTTAGATTTCTTAGGCGTTGCCCTCCGTTTTTTGTAAAAAAAAAAAAAAAAGTATAAAGTGCGTTGGGGCTTTAGATTAAGTAAAACATAAAAAATAGTTTTAAATTAAACATTCAATTAAGATAAAATAAATTCAGCCTTGCGTCCATACATATACGATTCTAAAAAATGGGTGTTTTATAGTTCAATTTCTCATTTCTATTTTGTTTCTTGTTCCAACTTTCCCGGTCATCTTCCTTCCACTAGTGAAACTCTCTCTCTCTCTCGCTCTCTCTCTCTCTCAACGCACACACGCAGAGAGACACGCAGCCATAGGTCTCTGCTGGTTCCATTCCTGACCAAGACGTATCGATACGCACAAGTGTACGTGTTTTTTTTTCATTTTTCATATTTTGTGCTTGTTTGTTGTGGTATCATCCCAAGATCAAAAGCATAATTTGAGAGAAAAACAAGTTTCTA